AACTAATCTATTTTTAACACTTTAACCTAATACGTTAACTGACTCCAGTGCAAAAATGAGCACTAGATGAGCATGAAGTATGAGTTATTTTATGCCACAATGGTTATTTTTATTAGCTTCCAAATTAGCAGACAAATGCAAATATTTCTTTAGAGCTGTAGTCAGACCCAAAGAACTTGATAAAAACAGTCTCACCTCAGTTCATCCTGTATGTCTAGCCCTGTAGATCTATTTGATCATGTAGCACAGCATCAAGAGTACAGAGTATCAAGAAACGCCACAACACATGCTTGTCAGTGGTTAAGCAAACCACAACATTTCCATTTTTGAAACAAAATAGCAAAGTCTTCACATTTGTGCGTCCTTGAGCTCTTGTCTCTTATTTGCTCCTCATGGATATAGAAACCCTCCCACCCCCCACAAAAAAAAACAGGACCTGAATGTTAGAGGCACTTTCTTCAGATGAGAGTTTAGGTGATACTGCACAGTCTTGGGTGTGCCTCTTAGCTTTAGGGGTGCACTGTGGGGCAAAAGATATCTCGTCATAGCTCCTCATTGCCCCTCCTTATCTCCCCATTAAAGCACGGTGCATTGATTCACCACAATAGGGCTGAATATATTACCAGTCAGGGTGTTCAACTAAGGCCTACCCCAACCCCCTCTTTGCAATGTATCACACTCTGTGTTCCTCACAAAACCAAAAAAAGCACTTTGCAAAGGCGTTGAAAAGAGGGGAATCAGTTGCTAGACAACTCCAAAGAGGGTGTTGAGCTTGCAGGACTGGTTAAGGTTATAAAGAATACAGGATGTCTCTGCTTTGTGTTTTTGTTGTTGCTTTCTTATGCTGTTTTGTTTTGCCTTTTTTGGCATTTTAATTATTAAAATTAATTATTAAAATTGAAAGTGAAACACGAGATGCAACGGTTGTTTTGTTGCTGTGTCTCACTCTCCTGCCCTGACAAACCAAAACACACCCAAGTGATCAGTGGGAGACTTTGCTATGGAGCTGCAGTTCTAATGAAGGACAAGTGCATTGCACATGGTTCCATGCAGGCACTCATAGCAAGAAAGAGGCTAAACAAGTCTGCTAACTTTTGCAATTTACCAGAAGAGTGCTGAGGTTGTTGAGGGTAACGTTACTGTTTCCTGTTTACCTGCAGTAACGTAAGCTAGTTCACCACACTGACATTTCTATCTGTCACCTCAACCAAGTACTTGTTACAAAAGCTTCTTTCTCTACTGAACAGTACAGTTTGTGTCTTATTATTTTTATAATTCATGTAACTGGAGAGTCCTCTTCACAGACAAAGTTTAATATTGGAGTTCTACAGGGTTCAGTACCAGGACCAGTTCTGTTTACATTATACATGCTTCCTTAGGCAGTATCATCAGAAGGCATAGCATACATTTCCATTGCATTGCCAACTTTATCTATCCATTAAGCCAGATTACACACACCAATTAGTTAAACTGCAGGAATATCTTAAAGACATTTTTCAAATGACCTTGGCCTCCAGTAACACTGTGAGGAATCTTGGAGTCATTCTTCACAATGATATGTCCTTCAATGCACATATTAAACAAATGTCTAGGATTACTTTCTTCCATTTGCACATTATATCCCAAATTAGAAACATCTTGTCTCAGAACTAGTTCATGCTAGTTCTAGTTTATGTATTACTTCTAAGCTGGACTACTGTAATTTATTATCGTCAGGATGTCCTAAAAACTCCCTGAAAAGCCTTTGGTTAATCCTGCAGCAAGAGTCCTGACAGGGACTAGAAAGAGAGAGCATATTTCTCCTATACTGACTTCCCTTCATTGGCTCCCTGTAAATGCAGAATTCAAAATCCTGCTCCTCACTTACAAGGTCTTGAATAATCAGGTCTCATCTTGTCTTAATGACCTTATAGTACCATATCACCCGATTAGAGCACTTTGCTCTCAGACCGCAGCTTACTTGTGGTTCCCAGAGTATTTAAAAGCAGAATAGGAGGCAGAGTCTTCTGTGGAACCAGGTTCCAGTTTGGATTCAGGAGATAGACTTATTTATTTATTTATTTACTTACTTATTTAGTCAAATTTGTGAAAAATCAAAGACTTTCAGAATTTTTCTGAATGCTTCTTTAGCTTAATTCTAATTGTTTTACTTGTATGTATCTTTCTGTTGGCAGCAATTGAAAAATAAACCCAGTGCTTTGGATGAAATGAGCTCCATTCCTTTAATTATTGACTTTGCATGTTTTCTGTTCATAGTGTTGTGCAAACTATGTAACACATTTATGAACACTCTCTTCTAAATTTAAGAACTGACTACTGTAAAAAAAAAAGTTCATATTTCTAACCTAAAGTTTAACAATTTACTCTTTGCTTAGGTCTTGGTGATTTCAAGAAAATGAACGATAGCTGTCTACTTTTTTTCAATAATACTTACATATATTACAACAAACTTGCAATGTCAGCATAGATTTAATATCTACAGCATCTACCTATACACTCCACTTCAGTACACTTCAGAACTTCTTTCAGTAACTACGACCTGTGCTATTGATATGGCTTAAGCCAATCACCTTGGACATGTGAATACAAGTTGTGAATGGTTGTATTCACAAGATACAAGTGAACAAAACAAAATAAATTCTATTGTAGAAACTGAGATCCCTACCTCTGAGCATAAAAAGAAGGGTTCTGGAGAGCTTAAACCCCTACATCCTGAGAGATTTGCCTGGGGTGCAAAACTACATGTATAACGTTGTGGTCTATGGAGACTCCAAGAAGGCTCATGATCCACACATGTAGGCAGACCTCAAACGCCTCCAGATAAATGCAACAAAAAAAAGTTTGTTCAGCCAGCCCAGCATTCCATTTCTGATAGATGTGATTTCCAGAGATGGCCTGTGCTCTAGGTTTTTGCCTGACTATACAACAGTGATGAGGCATTCTGGGAAGTAATACACAGACTGAAATGCAGTGGAATTTGATGGCAGAAGAAAGCTTCAGGGAGACTAAAACCTATCACAAGTATATATATAATATAGAAATAGAACAGATAAAATACAAATAGTACAAATTAATAAATGAAGACAGAAAAGGAGAGAAAATATTGACGTGTGAAAGAGAGATGTGTGCAAAAGAGCTATAGCTTAATATGCTGGTTTAATATGCTGGATGACCTGATGTGCAAAAAATTATTATTACTGTTCAATAATAGGTCAGCTGTTCAAGAGTCTGATGGCAGTGTGGAAGAAGGAGTTGTTGAGTCTGGATGTTCTGGATTTCACACTTCTGAACCTCTGTCCCAAGGGCAGAAGTGTGAACAGTCTGTGTTGGGGGTGTGTGAGGTCTTTGAGGATGGAGGCAGCTCTCCTCTGGACTCTGCGATGGTAGATGCTCTG